TTTGGCAATCCGGCCCGTCGCGTCGCGGTTGTTTATAATATTGTTAAGTGGTACTTCCGAGGCTACCGTTATCGAACACTCTTGAAAGTAGTGTCGCAGCTTCCGGGCGGCGAGGCGGCGGCGGGTGTGGTCCCAATCTGAAGATGGTGGCTGCACCAACGCCTGTTCTCCTCTGTCAGCTGGCCGTGGGCTTCCCCGGGGCATCCTTCTTGGATGGTTGGCGCTGCAGTGGAAGTGCGGGCTCGGGGTCGGGGGAAACCCTTGTCCGGTGGTGCCGGTCACGATGTTGGCGACGCTCTCGGCGCCGTTTCTCCCTCTGGTGGGCGACATCGAGACCTTCTCCCCGTCCTCCGCCCACCTGGTCCTGGGCGAAAGCCTAAAATCTCTTGATTGGGTGGCGACGGCGCATCCGCATCGTTTACTTCATGAAGGCGCCGCCTTGGGAGTCGAGGGGGGTCAGGGGCTCGGCGCGGTGGTGCTCTGCCAATTCTTCGGTAGTGTTCCTACTCGGCAGTGGTGTGGGCTTCTTGGTCTTGGCCAGAGACAGTGGCGACATATGGGTTCCTGTGAGAGGTGAGGTGGCCAGAGTTGTCATCCTCTCCCTGGCTTCTTGTTGGCCAGTCCATCCGTTCTCAAGGGTGAGCAGTTCTGCCTCCTGACAGGGATGGCATCCTTTGATCTAGGACGAGAGGGCAGCGGTGCCCTCTTCGGAGGGAGCGGTGGAAGGTGGGACAACAGGGGACCTTGGGAGTTGATGGAGCATGGCTTTCCTCCGGTGACGAATTACCCCCTTGTCGCGGTCGCACTGTTGGCAGGATCTAAGGCCAGCATTTGCTGTTCCGTAGTGTTTGTATCTTGTCGATTTCATTTTTCTTTTCTTTTTCTTTCCTTTGTCTATAATGTGTGGTGGTTGCTTTAGATATAAAGCGGGGCGAAAGACTTTTTGGTAAACATGTTGTTCATAGGCTGCAATTGGTCTTTGCGCCAAGGGCTCAACGGGTCATCCAGAGTGCAATCGAAAACATGCGCTATGAGGGCACCTAGATATCACTGCGACATAGGGGGACATTAATTGGGTGTGTATCCAAATAGGCATATAGAATGAAATTTATGAAAACATTTTATTGGGCATTACCTTTCATTAGAAAATTAATTGGATGATATCAAAATATGCATATTCATGAATGCATATCCAAGAGGTGTATAGAAGGACATTTATGACAACCATTTATTGGGTGTTTATACAGATAGGCATTTAAAAGGAGAGATGGGCAACTTTTTATGTCCAACAATTAATAAGTGCGGTAAATTACAAAGATAAATTACAACTTATGACTGGGTGCAATTTTTATTGTAAACGATTATTAAAACAGGATTGCACAACATATCTAATGGCCTAGGACACCTAGATCACGAAATCAAAACGGTCGAAAACGGAGACGGCACTGGAGGGCTTGGAAGGAGCTCGGTTTTAATTTCCTAAATGTGGCACTTCTTATAGGCTTCTTTTGAACATATATTTAACGAAAAGGTGTGGGAGCTCCCGGGACTCCCGGCACCCTCTTATCACAACATGCAGTCCCGTTGAGATCTGTGCTGGAATCTGACTGGGATCAGACCATTTGCAGATTCAGCCAACTTTGTCAGCCCATTTGTGCCGGTAGGCATCTACTCCCTCTGTTCGGAATTACTTGTCGCAGAAATGGATGTATCTAGATGTATTTTAGTTCTAGATACATCCATATCCAAGACAAGTAATTCCGAACGGAGGGAATAGTATGGTAGGGTATAGGGCTGAGCAGTGGCAGTTGTGCGCTAGTACTCCACAACGGTTCCCGACAAATGTGGCAGTTAAATTCACTGTAGTCACATGACCACTGATGCACCCTTAGACTAGTCACAATGGGTAGTAAGGGTCTGTTTGGTTTCAAATAAGTCACTAACTTATAAGTCGGAAAGTGAAAAAAATGACTTATTTTGCCAAACAGACCCAACTTATAAATCATCCCAACTTATAAGTCATAAGTTGCTCCACCCCAACTTAAAACTTATAAGTCACCTTTTTTACGTGGGTCCCACCACCTTTACATAAAAAAATAAGGTGGAAAGATGTGGTCAGGTGACTTATAAGTCAGGTAACAACCAAACATGTGTGACTTATAGGTCACTGATTTTAAGTCACCTGACTTATAAGTCAGTGACTTATTGGAACCAAACAGGCCCTAACATAGACTAGTAACATGTCCATGTTACTAGTCTATGTTACTATCTCTATAGTAAGGAATAACATATGTATGGTAACATGGAGCACTTCATTTATTAGACTAGACACATCTTATCTTGATATGTGTGATGTTACTCATACTAGTAGTAACTAAGTATTTTACCACTTTCATCTCTTTTTTCATTTATTACATGACACATCATCTATTTAATCTAGATATGTGTGATATTACTATCTATATTACTTCCATTGTGGGTAGTCTTAGTGTTGATTGACCAAGACAGCATCCTCATCCGTAAGTAGCTGCTACTAGTGGGTAGCGGATGACTAGAGATTAGACAAGACTCTGCTCGTATCCTTTCTCTCTCTGCTTTTTTCTTTCTTTCATCCACACGCCTCTCTCTGCTCCTCTTTTTTATCTCACAGAGTCGCACACAACGCGTCACTCCCTTCTCTGTCATAGCACGTCTGTGTGTGTGAGAGAGAGAGAAAAGCTACCCCTCTCTCCTCCTGTCTCCCTCTCACTACTTTCTCACACGTGAAAGTGACAGATCTTGGGAGGAAAAAATATGGTTGCTGTGATGGGATGGAACAAAAAGGTAGCCCTACGTGCGTCAGTTGGCTAATACTAGCACTGCAAATCACAAACGCTGTGGCAGACCAGGGACCGGATCACGAGGCAGGACAGGCATAGCGAACAGTGAAGATAATGGGTCTCTAGACACCCGGGTGTTAAAAAACCAGTCTCTATATTTAACGTATATGATATATCTTATGATACATTAAAGATATGATGCATTGAGAGTGTTCTTAGGGGACTCCCAATGCATTATATCTTAGACTACTACCTCCGTCTATGTGAATAAGTTATTCACATAGTTCTTAGTCATCGATTTGAGTAATTAAATATGTGTTATATATCATGAAAAGTATATCACTAGATTTCTACACGGATGTAGTTTTTAAATATATATTTTTTGTCACATATAATACATATTTAGATAGTTAAATCGTCGACCTAGAACTACGTGAATGACTTATTCACCGAGACGGAGATAGTATATCATATGCATTAAATGTGAACTTAGATATAACCCCTCCAATATATTGTATCTAAATCCTCTCATTTAATGTGTTTTATGAGACAAAAAGTAAAAGTTGTATTGGTTTTTATGCCAAGAACTATATCTAGAATAAGATATGGTATCTCTCTCTTTTCTCATTAAATAGAGCACTACATAATTGGTTTGCTTTGGCGTAATGACTAAGATATGGTCAAAGGCAAAGCGTTGGGACCGCCCTTAGAAAAGTTGTATCTAAACACATATTTAATGTATGTGATATGTCTTAAGATATGATGCATTGGGAGTGCCTTTGGAGAAGTTGTATCTAAATACACATTCATTGTACATGGTATAGGTTAAGATATGAAGCACTAGGAATGCCCTTAGAGAATTATTATCTAAAAAATATTTAATGTATATGATATAGCTTAAGATATGATACATTTGAAGTGCCATTGGAGAAGGTATATCTAAATCCTTATTTAATGTACATGATAGCTCGAGATATGGTGCATAGTACTTTGAGATATGAGATAGCTTGATATATACCCAAGATTTTAGGAGTGCTCTACACTAAAGAATAGTCTGTATAATCTATAAAAGCAGTTGCTTCCGACTGCATCCACCAAAAGCACTCCTCTTCGATACCACGTGTGCTATTTGCCATGGACCATGGGTTCCCCTTCTAGGAGCTAGCATGCCTCAAGAACAGGAGGAATGCGGTAAACTGTCTTCCCCGCGACGCTATTCTTTGTGTGTTGTTGGCTGGGACTCCAGACTTGTTTGGATGCCACCGTTGGTCTGTATTAGTTTGCTATAGGTGTACCCTAGTCATGAGAGGGATCCGTCCTCCTGCTGGTTTTCTACTTTCTGTCACTGTTTTATTTTGTGGATTTCTTGTTTTGGGGGATCAGTAGAATCATATGAGCAATGGTGATCGAAGATACTTATTTTCTCTCTCCTTATTAACCATTCTGTCTTAGAGGTTTCCTGCGTTGTTTCTCCTATAGGGCATTTGATTGCATCCATGGGGTTTCGAGGAGGGAATTCCCTTTCGTTACCCTGCAAAGCAAGCTGTAGTTGAATTTTTACCGGCTCAATTAATATCTATTAGTAGTTAGTTAAATTAAATAAACTAGTAAACTGATTGAGGTATTATATGTTGTGCCGTGCAGGGTGGGTTAAACATGGTGACTGGCCGCACTACTCGTGGCCGCCATCGCGATGGCAGCTGTTGTGCCAGTCACGAGCATGGGCATCACTGATCAAGACCTAGAGTCGGAGGAGTCACTATGGGATCTCTATGAGCGCTGGTGCACGTTCAATGAGGTGGCGCATGACCCCGATGAGAAGTCGATGCGCTTTAGCATCTTCAAACAGAATGTGCGCTTCATTCATGAGAATAACCAGGGCGACGCGCGCTCCAAGCTCGGACTCAACATTTTCGCCGACAGGACCCATGCAGAGCTACCCGACGTCGAAGCTGATTGCACCTCGGCGGGCCACCTCCCGTACCACTTCGATTACATGCCTCATACCGCAATCACCAACGAGGAGCTCCCTGACCGCGTTGATTGGCGGGATCCCACGCGGTGACAAGCGTCAAGAATCAAGGGCAGTATTGCGGCGCATGTTGGGCCTTCGTCGCCGCTAGCGCTGTGGAGGGCATAACTGCTATCAAGACCGGCAAGCTGGAGGATCTGTCACCGCAGATGCTCATCGACTGCGACAAAGCTAACCTTGGTTGCAGGTGTGGCGAGTCGTGGCGAGCCTTGGATTTCATAAAAAAGAACCGTATAGCGACAGACAGGGCTTACCCGTACGACGGCATTGAGCGTCGGTGCCACATGAGGTCTGATGGCCTTTCCCGCTTTGCTTCCATAGAACATAGAAGGGTTCCATGTAGTATACAGCGGCGAGAGGGCCTTGATGGTGGCGGTGGCGGTCCAGGTGTCCAGCCCGTCATAGTGGAAATCGGGCTCGGCATATATTTCCACTATTACAGTGAGGACATTGGCGTGTACACTGGTCCGTGCAACAACACCATCACCCACGCCGTGGTCGGCTATGGCACGGACGCATTTCTACGAAGATGCTGGATCTTCAAGAACTCATGGGGCACCAAATGGGGTCATGGAGGGTACATGTACATGGCACGCGATGTGGGAGGCCCTCAGGGCCTATGCGCCATCCTAGCCTTCCCGATCGTTCCGGTGTGGAGACCTAAGGTCTCGGCCAATCCCAGCGATATCCCTAAGCACGCCTTGCTAGTGTAAGGATCTCTTCTTTGGTTTGCATCTGTCTATCTTATTCAGAGCAGATAACCAAGACTAGTCTATTTTACCGTTAAACTGCATCTGATGATCTGTAGTAACAATGGATTGTGATCGTTAAGCGTTGCCCAGGGCTTATATTCTTCCTTCTTGACATGCAAAATGAAAACCCTTACTAGGCTCCTTGCTCATTGTTCTTGTTGCTTATAGCCGGCCGACATTTACATTTATCAATTCTGCTACTCCCTTTGATCTATATTAATTGTCGCTGAAACGGATTTATCTAGATGTATTTCAGTGGTACGTTTGAGCGACAACTAATATGGATATGAGGGAGTACTGTTTCTTGCATGCATATTCCCATAGGTTCAGTTTAAGTAAGCTTCAGTAGCCCGGCTTTCAGGATCGGGTCTGTTTCTACTTGTATTGTATTCTTAGCCTTGCATTTGGATTGGACTTGACTTACAAAAAATTGCACTTACGAATGAAACTGATTAGCAGCTAGTAGTAGGGTAGTAGTATTCTTGCTATTTTGCAATGTAGCCATCATATATCGTCAGGATTTACCAACAGTTCACAGAGTCAAAGAGGTAGTCTAAACTAAATTTTGAGTTTAGTTCGAGATATAATAGTAAGGATCACATTTTATGTAATTTTCTAACTGAAAAGAATCTTCAAATGCTGTCAATGGTTCAAAGAAGAAAAGCATGGAACATTAGATGATATTCAACTTAGGTACCATTGAGACATGATGACAATTAGAAAGATAAAAACATAACATGGTAAGAGGACTGTATTTCAGGCTCTTAGGTACTCCCGCGCTCCAAAATAGATGACCCTTAAACTAACTTCATACTAAAGTTAGTATAAAGTTGGGTCATCTATTTTGAAACGAAAGGAGTACCATTGAAGGTGAGAGGACTGCATTTCAAGCTCTTAGGTACCATTGAAGTTGAGGACATGTAAAATCAATGTAATAAGTTCCGGAGCTAAAGGAAATTGCTTAATGAATCAAAGTCTAGATGCAATGCTTTCATCAAAAAAGGAAGAAATATTCAGGCCTCGGGCAGCTTGCATGATTGGAATGGCTCGACTTGGACAGGCAACTTAGCCATTTAACGCGGCAAGTCATTTTCGGGTGAATAGCTCCCATGCGACGCCGTTGGTGTAAATTGTCTCTCATGCGACGTAGTTGGTTGTAATCGCTCTCATGCTACATCTTCGTTGGAAAAAATAGCTCCCATGCGACACTGCTGCCTAATCCAAAGACACATGTTTAAAACTCGAATCAGGTGAGCGGGACCCACAGCATGGGACCCACTAACTTATCCAACTCAGCATTGGTCAGGTGAGCGGGACCCACAGCGTGGGACCCACTAACTTATCCAGGTCAGCATTGGTACAAGAGGACACCGAGCCGTGCCCCGAGCCGTGCAGCACCCGAGCCCATCCTCCCCCCTCCCCCTCCCCGACCGTTGTTGTTCTTTTTCTCCGGCGACGACGCGCAGCAACGCCGTTCCGGGCCGCGACCTAGCAATGTCGAGCTCCGCTTCAGCCTCCCGCCGCTCATGGTCGTGCTATGGCACAGTGCCCATGACAAGATGCCCTGCATGCCAACGTATCACACCCCTGAAGCGGCTAGTCACAACGACCGACAAGAATGGCAACCTTGGGCGGGAATTCGTGAAATGCGAGAGAAAACCAGAGCAGGGAAAGGTGAGATTTTACTTCTCAATATGCCAATTTTGGTTTTTATCTCCCAATTTCATATTTGCCCATTTTTCCCCATCGGATTTGGGATTTAGGGTTCATCTTTCCGATTTCAGAAATTGAAGCAATGCACCCATTTTGAGTGGCTAGATGAGTACATAGAGCGGATTCAACTGGAGGGTGCATCAGGGGAGCTCGATTTACCGTTGGAGGCGGAGAAGTTGGGCAAGTTTGGATCGGGCGCATCTGGATCCGGGGCCCCTGGATCTGGCAATTCCATCGGGGGCGCCCGCCCTTCCATTGGTGCTACTGTGGGGGATGCAGGAGTGATGGCAGAGCTGAAGAAGCTGAACAAGCAGATGAAGAAACTCATCGAATTGCAGAAGCAGCGCAATTTGATGGGGCTGATGGCCGCATTTTTTTATGTTTGTGTAATTGGTCTCGCATTTGTTTATGTGATGATAATTAGTCGTAAGTGAATAGATTGGGCATCATTTGTAATCGTAATGATATGTACATTTGAATAAAAGTGTTGTGCTGTACGAATTCGGCATGTCTTCTTCACTCTGTTTTGTTTTTTCAGTTCTTCAGTTAGTCATCAGTTTCAGTTTCAGTGGTAGAGGGAGAAAAAGAAAAAAAATTCGTCCCACAGTTGCCCGAAAAGGCCAGGCCCATATAGAAGTTACGCAGGGCCCAGGCCGAATAGAACATACCCAGGCCCGTTGATAAAAGAAGTGTAGCTAGTGCAAAAAAAAGTGCACACGGTCATTGACATCAATATATCTTTTCGGCTTTAGGTTATTTTACAAATTTTAAGTTTCCTGCCTTCACCTTTTTTTAGATAACTCATCTGATAATTATTTGAGCTATTTTTATGCATAAGCTATCGTGTCCGATTGTAGGGTCCCGTGTTGTTTCGGCTAAAACAAAAGGTTGGTTCTAGTTAGCAGTCTAACTTGTAGTCTTTGTGAACCAAAAAAGTTGCATTTGTTTGGTTCTAGTTTATTTCAACGAAGCGCCATTTTTATTGCATATAGTGCATAAAACATAAAAGGAAGATAATTAACTAGACACGTGCTAACAACAACTTCTATGATTGGATCATGTTTTAGTGCATTTTTTTAGTACACATGGCCACATAAATAAAATGCAATGGAGAAACTTTAGGACCGAAAAAACATATAGATAGATAGAGGGGCATCGGGTACCCTAGTAGCATAGATAGATAGAACATATAGAGGGGCATCCCCCCACTACATATAGTTCATAAAACATGAAAGTAAAATAATTAAAACTAGATATATAGAAGACACGGGCACACACACCCGAACCAACACAAACACAAACTAGATAGATAGAAGACTCGCACTTGAACAACTCCTTGGCCCCTCCTCCTTGCCACTCCTTGGCCCCTCCTCCTTGGGCCCCTCACTCGTCGTTCTCCGGCATCTGGTAGGGGAGGCTGTGCATGCCGTTGGGGTGAGGGAAGATGTGGTGGAAGTTGGTGAAGATGTTGTAGGTCGTGAACGCGATAAACTCGCATCCACACCAGAACACCTGGCCGAGGAGGTGGTGAGCGTCGTAGGGGTTGGTGAAGGTGACGTGGAGGCCGATGACGAGGCCGTTGGCGTTGCCATCGTATTGCTCGTGGAGGTGGAACATGGGCAGACTGCCCGGAGGGAGGTGGCGGTAGCCGGCTTGGAGGAAGAAGCGAGCCAATTCTCTAGGGCCCCTCCACCTAGAGATGGCCCACACCCTCAGGCTATTCTCGACGACGACTCCGGCCGGGTACTGCCTCTCCGGCACGGTGCGAGGGCGACGGTAGGTAGGGCCGTTGAACTGCATGGTGGCTCGAGTGGTGGATTTGCCTCGAAAAGAAGAAGGGGAGGAGGCTTGAGAGATGAGTGTGAGAGGATGAGGAAATGGTGCCCTTTTATAGCCGCGTTGCAGCTGTGGTCAATGTGTACACGGTGCCTTCTGGATCGTTTTCTCTTCTCCGTTCGCACTGGCATAAGTAATTGCGGGCATTAATTCAAAAAAACGGCGGCCAGAGCATCCAGGCGAGTTGCATCGTTTCGTGCACTTGCATCGGCGGTGACGCCGCGTGGGAAACAGGCCCGTTCATCCGCGCGTGACACTGAAAAAGGAGTTGCGCCACATCTGCACCACCGACGCGTCCGTCTCGTTCAAACATGCATTTGTTAAAATAGCTTAGATGCGACGTACCTATACGTTGCGCCCCTGTCGTGCTTTACTGCGTCGATGCGTGCATGCAATGGCGGGCTAGGTGTTCACGAGCAAAGAATAGCTAGGCTGCGACGTTGCATGGCATGCATGGGACAGGGATGGCCCACATGTCATTGACCCTCTCGCATGCAGCCCATCCCCCTCTCGACGGCCGTGCGCACGCACGCCAGGCTCTGCTGGGCCCGATCCGCTCGGCCCAACGGTCACTTAGATGATCCCCCGCTCAACGTTATCTGTTCGTCAGAGAGAGAAAACGGTGGCCAATCAGATTGGAGCCCACGGATAGCCCCCACGGAATCCTTCTAGAAGGCCTATCCGACGGCCGCAGTTTGGCGTTAGGGTTAGATCGACGGTGGACGTTTGGCGCTAGGGTTACATGGGGTTTGGAGGCAGTCAACGGGGTTTTGAAAGGTTTGACCGAACATTCAAATGTGTATAACTAATTCAAAAAAAATCTAAAAAATGAAAAACCTGCGCATATAGCCTTTTTATGTTACATAGTTATGATATAAAATGATAAACTTGATCTAATGATCTTTGCTTGAAAAAACCTTCACAAATTGGACTATCTCGACTGAGGTTGCATGGAGTTCACAGGAGTGAGAAGAGGGTTTGAGGTTTTGAAAATGCAAAAAAATCAAAAACATCACCTTAGCTTCATTTTAGAGTGACTAAGGAGGATCTGAAGTTATTTTTGCATTTAAAATTTTTAAACTTGTTTTATTGCTAACTTTGTATTAAAGGGTGTTTTTTCAAAAATAAATTAAATAATATGAATACTTATTCAAAAAAAGGTGAGACTTCGTATTGATCCTATATAGGTATAATATAAGCTAAGAAAATCTTTTTTGGGTGATTTTGAGAAGGTCGAAAAAAACTTGCTTAGAAATGGGGCCGTTTTCCCTTACTTTGGAGCCTGTTTGGACAACATTGTCCGTGACTATGAGTTGGAATTCACAAAAAGGGTTGGATTTATGAACTAAAGTGCATAGTAGTACATAAAACGATGCAACATCACAGAACAAACAAATGAACTCAAAAAATAT